CATCATGGTGCCCAAAAAGGAGGAAAAATTGCTCGAGAATGTGTGTTATGAGATGCCCACCAAGAAAAATCCTCCCACCTTAAGCCCTTGTATGTGGGAGCTCATTTTGATGGAGTTCTGGTGAGCAAAGTCCTTGTGGATACAGGGGCCATGGTCAATATCCTACCAGCCTCAATCATGAGGAAGTTAAAGAAAGGCTCAGATAAGTTAATTTCGACCGAGACAACGGTCAGTGGGTTCGTGGGAGACACCACGACTTCAAAGGGGATTATCCCACTCCAAGTTAGAATGATGCAAAAAGTTAGAATGACTGCCTTCTTTGTAGTGGAGACAACGACCCATTTTAATGCTTTGTTGGGCTGAGATTGGATCCATGGAAGCATGTGCCCTCTTCACTTCATCAATTTTTACAATTTTGGCACGAGGACGGAAGTGTAGAGATTGTTCAGGCCAATGCACGACCCATCATGGTTTCCGCCAATGCAGTGGAGATAAAGTTTTATGAGGATGACATTGGGCCTCTTTATTTTACAAGGTCAGATAGGAACGGCCGACCTACGGGAGTGTCAGCCCAAAAGTTGATAGACTTGGGGGCACATGATGCCCAAGTAGATGAGGAACGCACCACTATAGCTGATTTTTTCTCCCTTAATGAGTGATACAAACATAGAGGAAAAGAAGAAGGCCGCGGTGGAAGACACTTTGAGACGGCTATATGGTTTTTGGTCCGAAACAGTCGCCAAGCATGAATCCATCGCCAACTTGGTGAAATTTCATCATGAAGGTCTGGAAGATAATGCACTCGAGCTCGAGGAAGTAAAGTTCGAGCCAAGCGAGATGGATGATTCGAATGCAGAAGTCCAAGACCCTTTGTTAGAAATCAACTTGGGGACGGAAGACAACCATCGACCAATCTACATGAGTGGTCTAATGGAGCCAGAACTTCGGGCCTTTGGGCCAAGATGGAAGAGCTTTTGAGAGAGTTCAAGGATTGCTTCGCTTGGGATTGCACCAAGATGCTCGGATTGAGTCGCGACTTGATCGAGCATCGCCTACCAACGGTGGAAGATTTCAAGCCCTTTAAGCAGCCGCCCCGCTGAATGTCGGCAGAAGTAGAGTTATAGGTTAAGGAAGAAATTGTAAGGCTTGTGAAAGCCAAATTTATTAGGCCAGCTAGATATATAGAATGGCTTTCAAATATTGCACCTGTAAAGAAAAAAAGGGAGCAATAAGAATATGTGTTGATTTTCATAATCTTAATCTTGCAACTCCCAAAGATGAATATCCCATGCCCATGGCCGACCTCTTAGTCAATGGGGCGGCCAAGTACGAAATTTTATCATTCATGGATGGGTACTCCGGCTATAACCTAATTTTTATAGCCAAGGAGGATGTCCACAAGACAGCTTTCAGGTGCCCCAGATCCATTGGAATCTTTGAGTATGTGGAGATGCCCTTCGGCTTGAAAAATGTCGGGGCCACATATCAACGGGCAATGAATGCCATTTTCCATGACATGATCGGTCGAAATTCGGAAGTGTATATCGATGATGTGGTCATAGAATCAGAGTCTAGACTAGGTCACTTAGATGACCTTCGGTCGGCTTTCAAGAGAATGCGGCGGCATCAATTAAAGATGAACCCAAAAAAGTGTGCTTTTGGTGTATCCGCTGGAAATTTCTTAGGATTCTTGGTGCACCAAAGGGGGATTGAGATTGATAAAAATAAGGCGAAGGCTATCATTGACGCCCCCCTCCAAAAAACAAGAAAGGTGTGCAAAGTTTATTGGGCCAAATTAACTTTCTTCGAAGGTTCATAGCAAACTCTGGGGGAAAAGTTGAGCCCTTCTCATCTTTGCTGAAAATCAAAGATGAAGAGAAATTTCGGTGGGAAGAGACTCACCAAAAGGCATTCGACACAATTAAGAAATATTTGGCCAAGCCTGATGCGCATATTTTATATTATATATTTAACCCAATTCTTAATATATTTTGGTTAATATTTTGGAAAATTTTTGATATTTTGAATTAGATTTCCAATATAGGACTTTCGACTCCCTTTGGAGCAAAACATAATCAAATGGACGAATTTTGGAGTAATTCCAGTTGGAGGAAGTTCGTGAGTCACTTGGCTTGATCGTGTCAAAATTTAAGACATTTCTACCAAGCGGTTATTTTCTGGCGATAAAATAAAGGAGCAGTGCGCGGTGCTGGAATAGTGACGATTGGGGCTTTTATTATGTTTTGGAGCCCAAGATGACCTCAGATTCGTGGCCTTCTGGAGAAGTGTTCAGAACGTTTTTATCTTTAAAACAAGCTATCTTGGGCTGGATTTGGAGGAGATTTGAGGCCAAAACGTGGCTGGGCAGATTGTGGGCAGATTCTCCTAATCCAATTTGGATTTTATACCCTAGTATTATTTTATTTTAACCTAGTTTCCTTGTGGGGATTGGGGCAGCTAGGTTTTAGGAGGTATTTAAGTTATTTTTCACAAAAAATTTTGGACTTCTCTTTTGGCTTTTGAACGCGACTTTTGCTAGGATTTTGGAAGAACTTCTACTTCAAGGTGTTTTCGATCTTTGTTATTTTAATGAAGAACTTGATTATTTTTATTGTGAACATGCGTAACTAACTCTCTTTTGCTAGGGTGAGGCCACGAGCCTTAGCAAGAATATGTAGTTTCTGTCCAATTTGCTTATGATTATATGCATGCAGGTTTTCGAATTATTCATCACTGGGTTAAACTATCTAAGTGTCTTGATGCTTGATCACCATTAGGATGTTTAGAAAAGTAATTTGATGCAGTTTTGGTCGGAGGTCGGTCCCTGAAATTGACGAAGGCTTCTTGTGATTAATATGTGCAAGTTCACTTAGGATGAATACCACGTCTTAAGGGTTGCATGGTTTTTCAAAAGGTTTCATAGAACTTAATGAGTCATGTATGTTTAGATTTGATCTGAATACCACAGACGGATTGCATGTGTGATATACGCTCTATGTTGGGGGTCCAAGTAGGCATATATTAGGAATACCTAACCTTCGAAATATGCATGTATAGGTCATAAGTAATTGGGGGAACTATATAGAATTGTTAAGGTGACGGCGGATCCCTAGTGCTTTCTTAATTTGATTTCTAAAAACACAACTGTTTCTCTTGCTCTTAGCTTTAATTTTGCATATTGCCTTATTTTTATTATTTAAATTCCTTTTAATTTAAGGTCTTCAAATCAAACATCTTAACTTTCTCTTTTGCAATAATTAATTAGAATTTGGTTACTACGAGTTATTTAATAATCCCTGCGGAGAACGACCTTGCGAGAATCATTTATACTACAATAACCTTGTCATTCTTGCAAGCTTTGTAGGAGTTTTAACCCTGTTTGCGCAGGTACTAAAAAGCCTATCAAAGCCTCCGGTGCTCATTCCACCAAAGCGAGGCCAACCCTTGAAATTATATATGTCGGCCGCGGAGATTTCCATCGGAAGTCTTCTAGCCCAAGACAATGATGAGAAGAAAGAGCAAGCGGTATGCTACCTCAGCCGAATTCTAAAGGCCACCGAGAGGAAATATTCTCCGGTGGAGAAACTTTGTTTGGCCCTGTACTTTACTGCAACAAAGTTAAGGCATTACATGTTGCCCTCCGTGGTGCATATAATCGCCAAGACTGATTTGATAAAATACATGCTCACTCGCCCAATCATTAGAGGGCGGATAGGAAAATGGACAATGGCATTAGCGGAATTCACCTTCCGATATGTGCCCCAACAGGCCGTTAAAGGGCAAGCTTTGTCTGATTTCTTGGCCGCCCACCCTTGTGTTAACATGGGCGGGGCAGGTGTCATCATTGAATCGCCCAAAGGATTCCGAACTCGTTATTCATTTCAATTAGACTTTGATTGTACCAACAATCAGGCCGAATACGAGGCCTTGATCATGGGGTTGGAAATTTTGAAAGAGCTTGGGGTAAAGAGCATGTCGGTTAAGAGAGATTCAATGTTGGTCTTGAAACAATTGTCTGGTGGCTACAAGGTAACTAGCCAAGCTTTACTCGGATATCATGCTTTGGCCAACCAATTGATGGAAGATTTTGATGATGTGAGGCTCACCCACCCACCAAGAGAATGTAACACTCATGCCAACGCCATGGCCGAAGTAGCATCCGAAGTGGAAATCTCCAAAGGGCTCTCTGATGAGCTTTTTAAAGTTGAGAAACGATCTCTCCCCTCCGTCTTTGAAAGAGCGATCCCAGCGGAAGTAATGGTGTTAACAATAGCACCAGAGGATTGGAGGCACGACATCGTGCAATATTTGAAAAATCCAAATGGGTCACATAGCCAACAAGTTCGGAGGAGGGCCCAATATTATGTGATAAGAGATGAAGTATTGTTCCCAATAGGTTCTGATGACTTGCTCATGAAATGTTTGGGCAAAAGGAACAACTCGTGGCAATGATTGAGGTCCACGAAGGGATATGCGGTGCCCATCAAGCTGGCATCAAGATGAGGTGGCTTTTAAGGAGGCACAGCTATTATTGGCCAACCATCCTCAAAGATTGCATTGAATATGCCAAGGGTTGCAAAGATTGTCAAAAACATAGGCCAATTCAACATGTCCCGGCCGGACCAATGAATCCCATTATCAAGGCTTAGCCTTTCAAAGGTTGGGCAGTGAATGTGATTGGCCAAATGTATCCAAAGTCATCCAAGGGCCATAAGTACATATTGGTGGCCACCGATTTTTTCACAAAGTGGGTGGAGGATGTCCCAATCAAGCAAGTCACCAAGGTCGAGGTGATAGAATTCATTGAGAAGAATATCATCCACCGATTTGGCTTGCCCAAGTCCATCATGACTGACCGAGAAACATCTTTCATGGGCGAGGCTATTCAAGCCGCCGTGAGGAATTGGGGAATTAGGATGGTTCAATCCACCCCATACAATCCCTAATCAAATAGCCAAGCAGAGGCTAGTAATAATGTGATAAAAGGGATTTTGGAAAAAATGATCGATAAAAATCCCAAGGAATGGCACTCGCTTCTCTCCAATTCTCTATGGGCATATAGAACCTCGAAGAGGTCTTCCACGCGAACAACGCCATTCGCCCTCACCTATGGCCATGATGTCGTCTTGCCGCTTGAGATTTCGGTTAAGTCCTTAAGGGTAGTTCGCCATGGCGAATGGAGTAAGGACGAATATGAGCAAGCTATGACACAAGAATTAGACGACCTTGACGAGGTCAGATTGGGCGTTTTAGATGGATTGAAAGCCCAAAAAGAGGCCGTGGCTCGAGCATACGACAAGAGAACCAAAGCCAAGAGTTTTGGGTTCGGAGATCTACTATGGAAGGCCATTCTTCTGGTGGGATCAAAGGATCCAAAATTCGGCAAGTGGTCTCCAACTTGGGAAGGCCCATTTCTCGTTCACCAAGTGTTAGGGAATGAGGCGTACAAGTTAAGTGACCAAAATGGTAGGGTCCATGATGCGCCGATTAATAGTCGATTTTTGAAAAAATATTACCCAACGGTTTGGGAAATGGTGGAGAGATAATCCGCCACAAAGAAATATGTCATAATAAAATAATGATTTTTATTGGAAGAGTGGGCATCATAAAAGGATCTCTTCCAAAAGATATCATATATACATAGGTGGGCAAACGTCTACTACAAAATGGGGCAAAGTAATGACCTAAGTATCCACCAAAGGTTTAGAAACTAAGCTAGTTTTATCACATATGGTGACCAAATAAAAAGAAACTAGCTGAGTACAAAATGGGCCAACCAATGGCCAAGTATAAACCTAAGCATCAGGGAAAAGGGTACGGAGGGCAATCCTAAAGCTCTCCATCACGGTATCTCTGGCAAACAAGGTAGACTGAATCATCAACTTCCTCTCTCGATACTCTCTCACCGCTGCTGCATCGTGTCGAAGTTGAGCCTCGAGAGGCCTATTGCTCTGAACAATCTCGGAGACTTTGGCAACAATGCCAGCCTTCCTCTCTTGAAGCTGCCTCACCTACTCATCGATATCCGCAGCCTCCTATTGCATCTGGCGGGCAATCTCGATCTCCCTTCTCATGGTGGCACTACATGAGGTAATCCGCTACTCCAGGTCTTGGGCCATCCTTTGCTCCTCCAGAAAAGGACGGCGGCGGGGGGCAAACCTCTTCACCTGACCAAAAAGATAAGTGATCATAGTCGCCGAGCGTGGATCAGGGAAGAATCAAGAATTCGCCAAAGTCTCAATGGCAGCCTTAAGCTTGGTTTTCTCATTTTTGTCCTCCAAGGACATGAGATCTCCATTTCTGTATGACCGAAGTAGGGCATCAACCCCGAAATCTGGTAGAGCCCCGGTCGATGTGGAAGAAGTGGCAAGGCGAGTGTAAGCCTCCGCGGAGAATATAGATGCATCCCACTGATCTAGGAAGTCAAAAATATCACCAGAGGACTGCAAGAAAAATGGCCATTATATTTCAAGTAGGGAAAATAAATTACATATGTGTATATGTATATATTTCTTGTTTCATACCTGATCAGGGGATGGTATAGGGGCCTCTTCATGAGGGACGATGGCCAAGCTCCTCCCATTCTCCGCTGACAGATTCATGGTAATCTCGACGGGAACAAAGGATGAGGACTCGCCAATCTAGCAAAAGGGTATAAGGATTACAATAATGGCCCATTTATTTGAAATAAACAAGAAAGTTCGGGGCGTACTGCAAGTTGGAGTTCGGACGGAATAGCGTCGACCACCAAGGTAGGAGCTCCCAAGGTCAACATAAGGACGAGCACAGGTGGTGCACTTCCGTCGGTAGGAATAGTGAAGGTGCACTATTGGTGATGATTGCATGGTTGACTGTAATGGTAGTAGACTCCACCACATCCGCCTAAAAAAGGAGGATGTGAGCTCTCTAACAAACATAAAGCTTTGAAAAACAATAAGGAAGAGTAAGATCACCTGAAAAGTTGGGCCACTTTGGGGGGCCTCAAGTGGGCGAGTCAAGGGAGGGTCTGAGCCTATGGCAAAAATGGGCTGAAATTCAGCCTTAATGGCAGTGGTGTTGGCCGAAGAAAGTTCGGGGCCAAAAATGGCCCGCTAACATGTTCAAACATCAAAAATAAGAAATTGGGGGCAAGTGTAAAGGAAATTTTAAAAGTATGAAATTTCAATGAACCTGAGAGTTCGGAATGTGTGGGAAGTCTTCCTCGGTCAGCTCGGCCATGTGCTCATGGGCATGATCATCGGGCATGGGAATAGTCTCGTGTGACCCCATGGAAACATCCTCCGGGTGCCCCGTGGTATTGATCTCGGCCAACTAAGTTTAAAAATATGGTAAGCATAAAAGAAGTAAAAGAAAATTCAAACGGCTAAGGAGATAAGTTTACTTCATCCTCGCACACCGAAGTCATGGCTTGCGCCCCAATTCCCTTCTCAAGTGTGGAAGGTTGAGTTTCCTACATTTTTGGGCATAAGGGTGAGTTTTTGCCCTTCAAAATTAAATGAATGAAAGAATGTAGAGATATAAGCTTACCGAAACGGCGGACGAAGTAGTGGCCGATTGCACGGCCCCAGCCGAATGAGAAGACGAAGGATGCTCCGCCGGCCTTGGGGAACCTACAACAAGTTTATTTTAGTTGTTTAAAAAAAAAAATGCACTACCAAACCTTGAGGTGAGAGGTTCCGCATAACTTTTCTGGGCTGGAGGAATGTTTGTAAGGGCACAATATTTTCGGCAGGGGTGTCTCCTGAAAAGTTGGAAGCTTAAGCTTTTAGATGTGCCCATCAAGAATCCATAAAGTTGGAAGTGCAAATATTTAAAGGGGCAAAAATAATCATGGATGATAGCTTACCTTGGATGGGGGCATTAGGCCTTTTCTCGCCCCGCCTAGAATTTGCATCGGTAGATTTGGCCGAGTTCTCTTTCTCAACAATGTTGGCGGGAGGATTTTCCTTCTCGGCGGTGTTGGCTGTGAGATTTGAAGGGTTTTAAAAAAAAAGATAGCCAAAATTAAAGTAGGGAAAAAATATGTAAGTATTTTACCTTTTGCTTGGGCCTTCTTCTTCTCCTTCTCTTGTTGAAAGACCAATGAGCATGGGCAATGCTTGAAGATCCTATCCTCAATCTCTGAGCATTGTTGAGAAAACCAACCGGCCGACATTTCTTTCCACCAATGGATAAAAATATTACAGTCACCAAACTGGGGATCTCTAATGGGAATACTGAAGGATTTCACCAATTTTGGTTGAAATTCGTCAGGGCGATGACTTCTTTTGCATCCTTGAATTCCACCCACCAAGAGGAAAGCAGGTTGACGGAATCCATGGGTGGTATCGGGATGCTCTGTATAAAACCAAGCTGGTAGCCGCCGGCGGCGGGATAATAAAGCTCACTGCCACAATGATAGTTACTACCTTTGTTCACCATTAGGTCGTATGGAAGATCTCAGCTGATGAGGATGCTTGCCCACATATTATGTCTCTCCTCTTTCGTCTCCGACGTAGGATATGAGGAAAGATCCAAGGCTAGATAATCCGGAAAATGGTGATCTAGGCAAATAGAGAGATGATACCCTAGTCCTCTCCTCGCACTCATAGAAAAATCGGAAGCAATCCTCAACATAATGCTTCCGGCATGGGGCGTTGAGTAAGGGCGGACCCAAAAGTGCTTTATCGTTTGGGCAAACGGTGGTGGGACTTAATTCCGGAAAATATAGTTGGAGCCACAATTGAAAAATCCATATAGGGCCAGAAGCATGATAATCCATGGGTTTAGTGATTACCTCACAGAGCCTTCTGTAAAGATAGGCAAGAAAGATTGGGCCCATGGCCACTTGATGGCCATACGCAAGTACCTCCGCCAAGGCTCGGAATTCCTTAGTAATCCCACCGAATTTTGGGCATGTCAAGAACTTGCACAACCACATCACAAGAAAAGCCACAGGCTTAGTATAGGATACACCATTGATGGAAGGAGGGTCGGTGGGATCTCCACCATGGCCAAGATAGGTCTTCACCCAACTCCCGGAGGTCTTGTTTAACTTATGAAAATCTAAGCCAACCTTTGCTTCCGGAAGGTTGGCGGCCGAGAAATCATCTCTATGAGGGTGAAGGCCGGCGATAGCTAACAAGTCTAGCAAGTTGGGCGTCATCATCCCAAAACGAAGCCTCATGCAATTGGTGGAGGAAGACCAAAAGCATAGGGTTGCGAGGATTAGAGATCGGTCTCAAGGAAATGGGCTTCCCGCACATAGGAGCAATGTATCATAAATGCCAATTTTCTTCCAATGGCCCTTCAATTTTGGTTCCAATGCCTTGAACCAATGATACCAATCAAACTTGCCATTCACTGAGCTTGAGTGGTCGGGTTTCCCGGCAGCGGATGATGCTTTCTTTGATGGGGCGGGATCCGTTTTGAGGGGGGTTCCCATCGGCCAACCTTTGAATGGCTTGGCGCTCTCCCAAACGGTTGTCCATGTGAAGTCTGAAAAATAAGTTAGGCCATTTCTCGGCTGTGTCACCCACACCTTGGCCACCTCTTCCAGATAGGCGGAGAAAAATGGGTCAAGAATATATTGGGCAGAGTTGGGAAAGGCTTTGAGAAAATAGGCAAATACTTGCTTACCCAAATCTTTGTCCATGGCCACTTTCATATCTTCAAAAAATTGGGCACTATCACTTGGAATGGATTCCATCCTACAAACATGGAGTAAAATTGAATCAAAGAAAAATATAGTGAAGCAAACAAGATTCGAATCAAGAACACGAAGAACACCATGGCCACTTGATGGCCATCCGCAAGTACCTTCGCCAAGGCTTGGAATTCCTTAGTAATCCCGCCGGATTTTGGGCATGTCAAGAACTTGCACAATCACATCACAAGAAAAGCCACATGCTTAGTATAGGATACACCATTGATGGAAGGAGGGTCGGTGGGATCTCTACCATGGCCAAGATAGGTCTTCACCCAACTCCCGGAGGTCTTGTTTGACTTATGAAAATCTAAGCCAACCTTTGCTTCCGGAAGGTTGGCGGCAGAGAAATCATCTCCATGAGAGTAAAGGCCGGCGATAGCTAACAAGTCTAGCAAGTTGGGCGTCATCATCCCAAAACGAAGCCTCGTGCAATTGGTGAAGGAAGACCAAAAGCATAGGGCTGCGAGGATGAGAGATCAGTCTCAAGGAAATGGGCTTCCCGCACATAGGAGCAATGTATCATAAATGCCAATTTTCTTCCAGTGGCCCTTCAATTTTGGTTCCAATGCCTTGAACCAATGATACCAATCAAACTTGCCATCCGCCGAGCTTGAGTGGTCAGGTTTCCCGGCGGCGGATGATGCTTTCTTTGATGGGGCCTCTTTAGTTGCGGCGGGATCCATTTTGAGGGGGGTTCCTGTCGGCCAACCTTTGAATGGCTTGGCGCTCTCCCAAACGGTTGTCCATGTGAAGTCTAAAAAATAAGTTAGGCCATTTCTCGGCTGTGTCACCCACACCTTGGCCACCTCTTCCGGATAGGCGGAGAAAAATGGGTCAAGAATATATTGGGCAGAGTTGGGAAAGGCATTGAGAAAATAGGCAAATACTTGCTTGCCCAAATCTTTGTCCATGGCCACTTTCATATCTTCAAAAAATTGGGCACTATCACTTGGAATGGATTCCATCCTACAAACATGGAGTAAAATTGAATCAAAGAAAAATATAGTGAAGCAAACAAGATTCAAATCAAGAACACGAAGAACATCATGGCACTATTCACATATTCAAAGTTTCAAGTCTAAACTTTTGCAGGCTATAGATGCATTAAAATCATACCAAAATCAACCAAGAGTTAGTGCAACATACCTAAAAACTTGCAAATTTCAAGTTTGACGTTGATTTGGGTGGATTTGGTGTGTGAAATGATGAATGTGAAGATAAAGAGGATATGGGTTTTGGAAAACCTTCTAAAGGCCTATAGCTATGGTGGAAGTATTCATGTGAAAATGAAAGAGAACACTTGGATATTTGTAATATCTAGGGTTTTTAACGGATAGGAAGATCAAAAGTCACTCTAATTTAATTGGTGTCTTCCTAAATTCCTACCCGATTCAAAATTTAATAACGTGCAAAGAAGAAAAATCTCAAACTTCAGAAATTGAAAGGTCTTGGGTTTTGATTTGCTTACCTCACCACCAATTCCAAGCTAAACAACTCGGGGGGCAATGTTTGGGGGTGGTAGAAATCCACCTAACTTGGGCAATTTCTTAGAGCATGAAAATTGGCCGGGCAGACAAGGATATGCGATCGGGCCTCTCAATTGCAGAACTGGGCAGCCGGGTTCTTGGAATTCCTGGGCTTTCGAAAACGCGGCCGGGTTGTAGTTGGAATGCAACTGGGGCTAAGAGCTGAAAAATACGGTTGGGCTTGGAGTTTGTTACGGTCGGGACAGCTGGAGGAGATTTGGGAAAATCTTGCCTGGATTTTCAAATGGGAGGTGCGGCCGAAATCTTGGAGTGTTCGTGCCAGGCTGCGTTGGAAGTTGCGGCTGGGCTTTAGTTCGGATTGCTAATGAAGTTTTTGTTTAAGACTAGAATATTGCGACCAGATTTGCTGGGCCGTGCCCGACTGTGGCTGAGAGCTTGAAAGTGGACAAGTTAGTGAAAATAGACAACCAATATTTAAAGATCTTGGCGGCTGGGTCCTTTTGCTGGTCTCCAAAGTTGGGCTGGAAAGTTTGCAAGACAAAATAATTGATTATATACATATATATATATATATATATATACATATATATAGATTATAGATATATGCAGGTGGAGGTCTTTGGATTGTTTCAAGTATGGCGGCGGGGGGGGGCAGGCCCAGGCCCCCCACTGTTTTGTTTTTTTATATATAATATCATAATATATTTAATTATGCAAGTGTGGATTGTTTTAAGTGTGGCGGCTGGAGGCCCAAGCTTAAGCCCTCCATTATGATATTATTATTGCATATATATATAATATCATAATATATTTAATTATTTATATATATATAAGTACATGTAACCAATGAACCTGCTGTTGGATGCCCAAGTTTAAGCCAACGATTATTGCCCAAATTTTCGAAGGATTACGTGTACGTGACGGAGGGCCTCACAAGGAAAGAAATCAAGGAAGTTTTTATAGTAACTCCAAGAGTGTCAAAGCAAGGAAGAATCAAGCATATCAGAATATCTCAATCAATGCAATCCTATGGATTTAAAGGGGCCCTAGAAGGAAAGAAGTTTTAAAAGAGTTGACCCTTGGCCATTCAATGGCCAGCCCATGGGCTGACGAGAGCCCTATATAAACCCTGCTCGATGAAGGCACACACAACATCAGACAAACAAACTTATCTTTCGTCTTGCACTTTTCTTTTCCTAGACTTAAAATTTTATTTTTCAAACACCTAGTGTAGTGAGTTCTTCATATTTCTAGTGGAAGTTTACATTTT